GATATCTGTCATGTGATCTCATGTCATATGGTATCATATGATCTTCATGTTATAAAAACGTGTAATACAAATTATTAGATGATAATCAAACGTGACATTTTTTATAATTAAAAATGTCTAGCAATAACTTTGAAGGAGAAATGCTACAATCAGAAGATCCTGAAGAAGCTCTAAGCCCTAAAGCAAATAGCTCAAAAAGATCAAGGCAAAGAATACAAAAGCCATTAAAATGGCAAAGACTAACTCCACATGTAGATTTAATAAAATAACTGACCAGCTAGTGTTAATTCCAAATGCAAAACCACTGAGAAAAAGTTGGATATAGGGATATTTTGATCAGTATAAACCAGTTGGATGATATAAAAAAGTAGTAAGATATTTAGTTCAAGTTCAAAGAAAGAATAGTGCAGAACCATGTGGCCATTTTTTGGGTTCTGATAATTCCACTGGCAATTTTATTGTTCATCTTACTACACATCAAATTACTGAAGAAAGTCATGAGAGAAAAATGAACGAAATACGAAATAATAATCAGGTGTCACAACCCCGTATAGATGAAACAATACAAGATAATCCAAATATTAAAAGTAATCGAGATCGAAAATTTGTTAGAATCTTGATTAAGGATAATCGACCAATCAGTATATGTAATGATGAAGGGTTTATTGAATTTATTCATAAATTCGATCCAAATTATCAACCTTCAAGTGATAAAACAGTTCAACAATTATTAGCTGAAGCATATAATATAATCAAATCAAAATTGTTTTAACAAAAATATTTAATGAAAATATTCTTTCTTACTCTATAATAACAGATCTTTGGACAGCTCGAAGTAGATTTGGTTATATTGGTATTACGTGCTCTTTTATTGATAATAATTTTAGGTTTTGTAAAGCGATCTTATCAGTTTAATATGTATCTTATCCCCATTCTGACGATAATATTTGTAGAGTTTTACGTAAAATTATTTTCAATTGGAATCTAACCAGTAAGGTTCTTATAATAATGACTGATAATGGATTAAATATGGTTCAGGTTAGCAAATTAATGAATGAACTTACACGACTCCCTGTACAACGCATACTCTCCAATTAGTTATAGGAAAAGGTATGTTATATATTTTACAGTAAAGCTGTAATGATATATAATAATAAGGTTCTTAGATTTATTTATTGAAATTCTAATTTAATTCTAACTGTAAAATATTCTTTAATATTTTTAGGTTTACTTCCTGCTGAAGTTTTGATTGCAAGGGCCAAAAGATTAATAAATTTTTTTACGATATCTAAATAAACAGAAAGACTACTAGATATTCAAAAAAGTATCCATCACTCTAATAATGAGAGAAGTATCTATTTAAAATTAATTTTAAGATATAAATAATTGTAATTGCATTAGATTTCATTAGTTTTATTTTAATAATTCTACTTCATTTATTTATAGCTTAATTTTTGTTCTATAAGTTTCACATACCGTAGATTAAATTTTGCTCTTAATTTAAATTTCTATCTTAGTTTAGATTTTTAACTTAGTTTAAATTTCTAATTTAGTTTAAATTTCTTTCTTAGTTTGAATTCATAAATTTATGGTTTAAAATATTTTATCATTATAGTTTAAATGCAATATTCATATGTAAGCATGTAAAAAAAAATTTTCAAAGAAAAAATTGTTCATAGATTTCTTTAATACTAACATATTTAATTATATTTATAAGTTGAAGTTTAAGAAAATAGCAAAGCAAAAAATAAATCCATAAAATGATAAAGTATAAAGATTTTTTTTTACAATTTAATTTTTTTATTTATAATATAATTTTTATTTTATTATTATAATTTAATCCTTTCTTTTTACATAAAAAAATAATACAAAAATTTAATAAATTATTTATATAAGTAATTTAAGATTTGCTTTATTTTTTTTCCATCAAAACTTTACGATATATTCTATATATTCTATATAAATTATAAATAACTAATTATAATTTACAAATAAAATTAAATAATTATAGAATTTGAAAAAAAATGATAAATACCTTCGATTAATTGCTGACGTAGAAACGCGTTGGAACTCAAGCTACCTTGCATGGAAACGCCTAATAAAAATTAAAGATCTTATTAATATTTTAGTATCTATCTTGATGATTGATCCTGATACACAACGAAATGGCAAATGACTAAAGGATATAAATCTAACTGATGATGAATGGTAAGCAATAGGTAAATTAGTAATTATTTTGAAGGATTTTGCTGGAGTAACTGAATACCTAGGTGGAAGCAATTATACAACAATTAGTTTAATGTATAGTTTGTTAGCAATAATCAGCAAAAAAATAATACCTGAGAACTCTGATATGGAAGTTATAAATCTAACTAGTCCAAATACTGCCTTTGATGATGATATTGGTTATGAAGATGTTCCGGAGGATGAACCTATCACTCAACAACCTAAATGTAGAAAAATTAATATTAATGTTTCACAAATTGTCTTGATCTTGAAAAACGTATTAAAACAGCATTGTATCAATCTATTAATCACTATTGGGAAGTTCTACAAGAGCAAGGAATATTGGCTGCATTATTAGATTCACGATTCAAAGATTTAGAATTTGCCTCTGAAATGTTGCGTATGAGAACTCATGAATAATTAAAAAATGCTTATTAAGATATGAAAGACTTAACTAATGAAGATCAAGAAGCTGAATTCAGATCTGTTTCATCAAATTCATTATTGGCAAGAATGTTTCAAAATAATTATATTTATATTGATGAAATAACTAATTATTTAACTATGCCAAAGATTCATTTTGATGATTGCCCTTTGTTATGGTGGAAAACTAATCAAACCCAATTTCCAATATTGTCAAAATTAGCAAGAATGTACTTAGCGATTCCTGCTACTTCTACACTAAGAAAGGCTTTTTAGTGAAGCTGGTAATGTGATGACTATAAAAAGAACACAATTAGCACTTAATACATTAGAAAATCTGATTTTTTGTAAAAAAAATTGGCGCTTAGCTGGGGGGTTTTTCCATTAGGTAATATTTGTAAAATTAATGAAGAATAAATAAATAAAGTAAATATTTGGATTTTGTTATTACGATCTAATTGGTTTTCTTAGAAAAATTATGTTTATAATATATACAATGTATATAAAAGACCAATTCAAATAAGATTATTTTTTCCTATTATATTATTATTATTATTATTATGATATTATTTGAATAGATCTTAATAACATTCACCTTATGATTTTCTTAGTATCTAGTATTCCATTTCAAGTACCAAGTGTCTCCAACATTGCTATATTATTAGCAAGATTAAATTTAATACATTGACCTTCATCACGAGATACAGTAATATATTTAATTAAGTAATGTTCAGATCTCATTATATAGTTGTATCAACAGATTAGCAACGGATTGGCAGATCAGTATAGAAATCGATTCATTAAGAGTTATTCTATCAATGCTGAAAAAAGTTTGGGAGGGAAAATGAACATGTTAGCTAAAGAAAGTTATTATTAAACATGAAATTTACAAAAATTAGTAAGAAAAAATGCCTCACTCTTTTACAAATGGAAAATGGAAGAATACTTAAGTTGCTTTTGAACTATTTGCTATATGGTACCACTTAATTTGTATATAGGAGTAAAAACATTGAACCATTCACATCTTATGCATTCGAGAATATACACTTGATATTCGAAAAAATAAAAATAAAAGTTTTTTATTATCCATTACGGATTTATCTGGATTTATCTGGATTTTCACAGATAGCAATCCATATCCGTAATGAACGTCACGAATTATCTGTATATGGATCAACAGATATCTGGATCAGACCACTACCAGGTGAAGTACCCAATGAGCTTCAGAATCTTACAGAGATTAAGGAAATGTTGATTGCGCAAGTTTTTCCTGTAATGTCAATATATAAACTTTGTGGTAATCAAAATGGATATCGCGGAAATGTAATTAATTTTTCTCAAGATGTTCAGAAATTTGCCACAAACTTTCCTCGATATCCATCATCGTTAGATGTACTTGTCATACATTATTAATTCGTGAGTAATTTAAAAGTATTTAGGGATTTTAGAGTTTGCTAGCTAAAGGTTGCTCATGCACTAATATAGTTAAAAATAAAAAATCGTTACTATAGTGATATAACCATTGATCATGAAGCTCTTCGATCTTTACCAATTGATAGTTCAATTAATAACAAGCTTCAAAATATTGCTGAAGAATCTGATTCTAAAAATGAAGATAACATAATAACATGTTCCTTTGTTCCCATTCTTCCTTTATCTGATCGCGAAGATGTTACCATTCAGAATTCTCTTGATCGAATGCAAGAGAATCATCTTATTACATGACCACAAATAAATAGCAATCCCATTAATAAGTTCCAGACAGCAGGGTATTTTGCATACGTATTTCTGTCTTTATATCCAACCAGAAGTGCTGATCTTTGTGTAGAGCGTATTAAAGATGTAAAGCCTGCTGAATATTTTAGGCATCTTCTTTTGTATAAAGATGGAAGATTTGTGCAGCACACTCGTTGAAGGTATTTTGCATTGAATTCTTAAATGTGTTGGTGAGCATTACAAGAAGGGAGAGTATATGTAAAACAAAACCTTACTGATGCTTAAATTACAGTTGCAGATATTCAGGAAAGAATTATCCAAGGTGATACTCACATAGCCGATAGAATTATGCACTTCAGTGAAGGTTTACATAAATCCCGCCAGTTCTGAAATTTGAGACGTTATGAATTAACAGATATGATCAAGCAAATTAGATCACAAGGCTTGATTTTCTTTACATTTAGCGCTGCTGACTTACACTGGCCTAAACTTCATAAACTTATGCCACAAAGCAATAATTCTGAAGCTTCAGATAAGACTAAACTTCAAAACATTATTGACAATTCTATATCACGACGTGGTTTTTCAGCAAGCGATTTGAAATATTTTTAATGAAGTCCTTAAAAAACAATGGGATTTGGAGGATTGGTGGTATAGGTTTGAATGGCAACATTGCGGCAGTGTTCATGTGTATAGAATCAGAAAAAGAAGAAATGCATCAATAATAGAATAGGAGCATATGAAGGAAGATGAAAGTATAATGAAAGAAGTCGTACAGTACCTTGACAGTTTGGTCATTACAGTAAATCTAGGAGTTGATATGCCTGTTCCTGAATGGCATTCATGTCAAAAGGAAAGTAAAGAATTACGTGATAACCAACAAGACTATATCAATCTAATTAATAAATTACAAAGACATACCCAATGTAGTCCTGCATATTGTATTCGTATCAATCGAGAAGGCAAACTATTTTGCAGGTTTGGATATCTCAAAGAAATTATTGAATAAACATTCGTGCGAGAAGATGATCGTGGGCAGCCAGAACTTGTAACAGCAAGAAATGATTGATATGTCAATCCATATAGCCAACTTCAACTGCAAGGATAGCGAGCAACATGAATTTAAAGCTGATTCTAAGCATATTCACTGCATTGAAATATATTTTAAAGTATACAAGCAAATCAGAACCACAATCAGAAGCCTTTTCAGATGTATTGAATTGAATTCTTAGTGAAAGTCAGCCAGAAGATTAATTACTTACACCAGTTCAAAAACTGCTACTGAGCAGTGTTGCAGTATGGGATATCTCTATCCAAGAAATCTGTCATATTTTTCTCAGTCTTTCTCTTTATCATTCAAGTCAGCAATTTGTATTCCTGAATCTTAATAAGAAAGCACCAAGATGGATTTATGACACTGAAGAAAGTAAAGAATTAATGATTCAGGATAAACAGAAAAATCTCCATTAAAGGTATATTGGGATCGGCCTACTAAACTTGAAAATTTCATACTCTTTCGGCTATATTTAATACATAAATTAGTCAAAGGTCAGTGGAGAGAATGTCAGCAGAAAAATATTGTACGTATATTTCTACACCTATCACCACTATGTGAAGGTCCTCAATGGGAAGAATTCTACCGCATAAAAGTTCTTCTTCATGTTCATCACTGAGATTTTTAATAATTAACAGAAAATAAAACTGTCGTATAGTTGACGTTGTATAACTGTCATCTTAAGGAAATCAACACTGACCCAATTAACATACTTAGATCACCTAAAGATGATGTGAAAAGTGAAATAATCAATGAAGAGGAAGAAACCTAATCGAAGATGAAGAGTAAGATGAATTTTGACCTGATTGGATGTTTCTCGCAAAGATAGGGTCAAAAGTAAGTTTTGATTGTTCCTCTGATCTAGGATCTTGAGACGTTGATCCAAATTATGATTGGGTTAATGATCTAAGGCAATAATATTCCAATATGGAGCTTGTAGATATTGATACATTTGTAAGCAGAAATTGTAGGATTAATGCAGAAAAAGAAAATATAATAGTGGATTATCAGACGCTAAATAATAATTAAAAAATTATCTTCAAGTGAATAGAGTCTCATTACCTTGATATGCTTAAAAAGCATCAAGTTGAACCTTTAAAAATAATTGTAATGGAAACTGCAGAAACCAACAAGACTTACTTAATCAAGGCAATTCAAAAACTGGATCAAAGTCACCAATAATTGTACTTGCATCAACAGGAGTTGCAGCCTTTAACATTGATGGGTTGACGATACATTCAGGACTATCAATACTAATAATTAATGATAGCAAATGTTTTGATATAAATGATGAATGGCTGAAGCAATTACAGGATAAATTAAGTGATGTGAAATATGTAATAATCGATGAGAAAAGTATGATTGGTCGTCGAATGCTCACCATAATCGATATATGGCTCTGGCAGACCTTTCCTGAGCATAATAATAAACTATTTAGCGGCAGATCGGTTATTTTATTTGGTGAGTTTAGGCAACTTCCACCTGTCCTTGATCTTCCTATGTATGCAGACGATAAACAGGATGCATTATCCAATAGTGGCCTTGCAGTATACAAGCAATTTAAAGAGGCATATAAGCTTGAAGCCATTCAGTATCAATCAGGAAATTCTAAAGAGCAACAGGAATTTAGAAGTATTCTCTTAAGAATGCGTAATGGAGAATCTAGTATAGAGGACTGGATAGTTCTTACCACAAAAATAGAAGATAAGCTCAGTGTGATAGAATGTAATGAATTCTCCAACACTTTATTCCTTCTAACAAAGTAGTTTGAAGTCAATGTAGTAAATATAAATCAACTTTGATCTTTAAATGTTCCTGTTGTTAAAATTCAAGCTATACACACAGAGGGTAATGAAGCAAAAAAAGCTGACTCAGACACAACACATGGACTCGAAGTATATATATTATTGGTAAAAGGTGCACAAGTCATGTTAACAGTAAACTTACAGACAGATATCAGGCTAGTCAATGATTTGATGGAAACAGTTCAAGATATAATATTCAATGAAGATCAAGGACTGCCTTGTCTTCCTATAGCGGTCCTAATTTCTTTTGATAATTATAAAGGACCCACCATTACTAGCTTAAAAGGTAAAAGAGTTGTACCAATTGCACCAATTCAATGCATCTAGACCGGTAATTTCAGAGTTTTCTGTTCACGCTTGCAAATTCCTATCTGTCTTGCGTGAGCAATTATAGTGCATAAAAGCCAGGGTCTTACATTACTAAAGGCTATAATAGACCTTAGTGAAAAGAATTTACAGCGGGTCTTTCTTTTGTGGCAGTATACTGAGTGCGCACTCTTGATAATCTTCTCTTCAAATAATTTAACTTTGAGAGACTTCAACGCATTAAAGCCTGCAAAAGACTACAAATAGATTAGACGAAGAAAAGTACTTAGTTTTCCTAATATCAGAAAACTGAGACCCTTGACTGATTAACTCGTCTTCTTTATAACAAAGTGTATAGATCTATCTAATAAAAAACTTATACAAAAAAAAATATTATTTTCAGTTTAAAATACTTTATATTATTGTGCAATTGCATTTTAAAGTACATATATTTCAGTTTTATATTACATATAATTATTTCATTTTTCATTTCTATAAAACTCAGCGAAGCTTCTCTATAAAAATTTCTGTTCTAAATTTTTTTTTCATTTTATATCACAAAAATTTCACGCTTCACAGTTTTGTAACATGTAACATTTGGCATACAGTTTATTTTTTTTGTTTATTATTATATCATATCAAAATATCAAAATGTAGTACAAGATTTAAATGTGACGTATGCAGACAAATGGATATCGCCATGTGACCTTAATTAATCATCACTTTGCATAAACATATATAGTCCTTCGCTTCGCTCTGGACTAATTAAATTTTAAGAATTTTGTCTTTAATTAAGATATTTTTTTAAATATTAATATTAGTCTTATAATTCAAATGCTTTTTATTAAATATATTAAATCTAAAAATTCTTTAAAATTGTTATCTCTGATTTCTATCTAAACCAATTTTATAAACTTTAATTATTAATTTAATAATATTAAAGCTTAATTAAAATAACATAATCTAAAGATTTATAAAAATTAATTGATTTTAAACTTGATGAATTTCAAAATAACTTATAATTTGATAGTTTTTAATTCTTAAAAGTTTAAAAATTCTTATTATTATTAAATCAGATTCATTATAACTTTATTTATTTTAGTTATAGATTAAGAATAACTCCTTTTAATAATAGTTTAAACTCAAGTGAAAATATATTAAAATCATAATAAAAGATATGATGAAATATTTCTATAATAAAGTTAAAATTTTTGAAACTATATTAAAAATATAAAAAAGGATAGAATAAAATTATTTTGAAAAAGTTTTTATATTTTAAATAGTAAACTTTAAAATTATAAAAATTAGTTAGGTTTTAATTTAAAATCATCAATTTATATCAAATTTTGAATAATTAATATATTTTCTTATATATTTTTAAGTTAAAAAGAAAAATTAAAATTTCTTGATATTTATTATTAAATTTATATTTATGATTTTTATAATTTATTTAATTAAATCAATATTAATGATTTTTTTATTTTTGTTTTAAATTTAAAATTAATGAAATGTATTTAATATAGAATTTTGTGAATTTTTAATGTTTAATTTTTTAGATAGTTTCTTTATTAATTAAATTAGCAATCAATTTATTTCTTTTATAAATATATTAGAAGTTTTAATTTAATAATAATTTATTTTATTAAATATATCAAAAATCCTCTTTTTACAAAAAATAAAAATTTAAAATATGATTATTTATAAAAATGTTTTTTATTTATTTATATAATAAATTGTTAAAAATTATTTATTTAATTTTATTTTTGGTAATAAATTATTATTTATTAAACAATTAAACACTTTTCTTTTTTTAAATAATTTTATTATTTTAATAAAGCATTATTTTCAAATTTTATTTTTTCATTTGATCATAAACTCTATGTATTAAGTTATATATTTAAATATAAATATAATTTTTTAATAGCAAAGTAAATTTAATAATACTTATTTTTTATCTTTATTAAAATAAATTATTTTAATATTAATATTTCTTTTAAATCAATTATAATTAACCTACTAATTAAATATTTATAATAAATAAGTATAACTATAAAATTAATTTGCAAATTTTTTATTATTAAAATAAGATTGATTTAATAATTTTATATTATATTCAAAAAATATTTTTATTTTATATAATGTATTTTATGAATATGTATAATTATAAATTTTTTAAATTTATTATTTATATTAATTAAAGTATTTAAAATAAGAATTTTAAATTAAAAAAAAACAAAAAAAGATATTATTAATAAATAAAAAACAATATTGTAGTTATTAAAAAACCAGAATAATTATATATAGATTTGTTATAAACTGAAAATAAAATGATTATGTGAAATACTTTGATTGCATAATGCATTATTTAAAAAAAGTTTTATAAAATAATAATAAATAATATATTCTCAATATTTTTTATTTTATTTATAAAAATTAATTCTATATTAAACCACATTGTCAAATTCATTATTTCTTTTAGTTATTCACTGATTATATTAATAATTTTCTTTTATTTATACTATTTTATATCATTTTAATAATAAAACATTTTAAATCCTATTATTCAAACACTTAATGTATTATAATAAACAAAGCTTGCGGATATACAAGGATACAAAAAAAGTATTTTTAATTTAACGTTTTCTTGTAGCAATTGAAAATAATAATTATATTCTTTTAAAACCGATAGTATCCAATCCAGATCGATGCAGCAGTCACCGTTGTTAATATTGATACACCAATTACATTCAATAAAAATCCTTGACGTTTCCACCTCTGCACTGCCTCCGAATATCTCATGGTTGAAAAGCTAACCATTGTATACAATGGAGCAATACTTCTAGTGGGAAATAACCAGTATAAAGTTTCTTCAATTCGTTTTCTTAATAAATACCAAGGTTTTACTACACTAGATCGCATCTCTATATAATTATACATTGCTAAATCACAAATTGCAATCGCGTCCGGATGACGTCTTTTTGTAAATTCCTCCAATGCCAAAGCCAACTTATCACTACTTTGCACAGCCGATATCTCGTACTCTTCAAATATTCCATTTAACATTTCAACATCCTGAAATCCACAATTCATACCTTGTCCATAAAAAGGAACCATGCAATGAGCTGCATCTCCTATAATAACTGCTCGATCTTTATAATGATAAGGCTTGCACTGTATAAAAATTATTATCCAAAATATCATTTATTTCAGTATCAATTCTTTATGGATATTGAAGAAAATCTCTTCCCAATTTCTAAGAAATGGAGAAGGTTAGTCTGGCTTCACAAAGCATGATTGGGATGAGGCTTAATCTCGGGATTAAAGTTTACCACGAAATGTTACATTCTAATGAACAATTAATCTTTCGTTTGTTAACCTTTGATTCCAAAACTCAATCTCAATCACGCTTTTGTATGAAGACTTTAATGACAGTTAAAATTAATTTAACTTGAATGTTACGCTTAATGATAATTTTGCACTCAAACAAATCTTATCAGTCAGAGGCGACATTGCATTATGCTTATAAATTTGACTCGACCTTACTAAAATGCCCAACCTTTTAAGAAACCTACCTTAATAGACATTAGTGATCCCCTTGGATTCCTGAAATATCCCTTCTTGAGTTGATCTTCTCCAATTAAAGGAATAGAATCTGCATAATACTTTCTAAAAAATTCCATCAGATCATCTTCTGTCTTTAACGCATCGAAATTTTCAAATGGCATGAATAGTGTACATGTAAATGATTTATTCTAAATAATAAATATATACTGTATTAGCAATTAAAAAATTAATAAGTAGTAACCATTTTTTTTAAGAATATATAACGAACTCTATTAGGCAGTGCAATCATCATAAAAGAATGCCGTGGCCAAATGTGCAAATGATTAGGATCCATTGCAAATTCTTCTTCATCTTTGTCATTAACTCTTGGTGGAATGGTTAATTCAAGATAAGCATGTGAAATATACTCCTGTGAGTAATCCATCCTACATTCGAAATTCTTAAATATTTAAAAAGATATTGTTTATAATGCTTACAAATAAATAAACAATTTACCTTACAACGCGCATTAGTTGGGTTCGAACAGCAGAGAACGCGCCATCAGCACCTATAATTAAATCTGCTGAATCTTGAAATGGATTTCCAGTTTTCCTAAACGAAAAGGCACATTTAGTTCAAAAAAATGGTCAACAAAAAGCAAATTTATAATACTTACTTATTTTCGAATTCTAAAATTCCATCATCAAAATTACAACGTTTAAACTGGTGTTGGAAATACATTTTGACATTCGTAAACGTAGCGGCTGTATTTAGAAGCAATTCGAGAAGGATTTCTCTTTCCACCGAGTGAATACACTATAAGTGTAAATTTTTTAAATAAGTCATTATGTAATAGCGTATAAAACCCGTTCAAGTGAAAATTTCTTACCTCACCGAAAACACCGTATAATTGGCTTTTGAGCTTACCTTCGCCTAAATGAATCATTCTACCTTTCATATGAATCACGTGTTCCAATATTTTGTCATCAAGACCGAGTGAAATACGTTTCAAGGCGCTTAGGCCTCGAGCAGATAAAGCTAGGTTTATTGACCTATGTGAAAGATTTTTTTTGTTCTCCGGTACACGTAAGTCTGATAATTGAATATCGAATATAATTGAATATTTCGTCTTTGTGAAAGTAAAATTATAAATTAATTACCTTCTCGAAGTTCGAAAAGACTAACTTGCCAACCACGCTTGGCAAAATATAATACAGCGAGTGCACCAACAAGTCCGCCACCGATTATAGCAACGCGACGTTTTGGAACAGTTTCTTGCACGCTAGTGGACATTATTAACAAGTGTATTAAAAATCTAGAATTTTGTCGCCTCGCCTTTTTTTTTTGCCCCAATTAGAAAGATCAAATAGTCTCAAATTCAGAACGCTTAAATAAGAAAAGTTTATCATATAATCAAATGATTAATCATAACCAAGTTTCAAAATAATATATTTTCCTTGGTTGTTTTAATTTTTTTTATATCAAATATAAATAAATAAATAAATATAAAAAAAAAAAAAAATAATAATAATATATATATATATATCTATTAAAAGAGATAAAATAATAAACTATCATCAATAGAGTTAGTAAATTACAAATTTGGATAAAGCTAACTTTTAATAATTCACTAAATTTTTTATTTCCTATATTAGCTATTAACATAATATTCTATTATTAAATAAATTGAATGATTTTAGAAGTTTTATTTGTTGAATCTATAACAAAAGTTACCGTTGCATTATTTTAAACTGTCATTGATATAGTATGTGAGCCATTATCGTCATTACTATCACTACCCACCGAAGATAAATCCTCCTCCGAATCTACCACTCTTTGAGGCGTAGATGTTATATCGGATTCAGAATTATCCTTGGAATGTGATTGTTCTAACCGTTCGAATAAGAAACTAAATTATTGGAAGCAAAGAAATAAAATAAAAATGGGTATATAAGAAAAGTACTCGACTTGGAATCTTTAGTTACCTTCTCTCTATTCGTAACCGTTGTATATTCTTCTTTGCTCTAGTTAATTTGAGTGACAACTTTTCATTTTCCTAATTCGGGAAAAAAAAAACCTCCAATCAAAAATTTCGTTCATAGTAAATTTAATAATAAAATAAAATAATTATCATTACTTCTTCCATCTCTCGAATCCTCTTCTTGAGCTCTTTATATTTTCTCTTGTATTTAAGATCTAATCAGATTGAATTGTATTAATAAATTGATGATATAGTATATATAAACAAGAAAATAAAACAATAAGTTACCATCATTAACCGGAATTGCTTTGAATACGGGTTGCTTTGGCCTTGGCTATTGTTGTTGGAAAGAGTATTGAAACAACCAAATAAAGTTAGATCTAAAAAAATCCAAGTGAAAACAAACATCTTGCAATGAATAAAAATAAGGATACACGAAAAAACAGGCATCATTTGTTTCTACCTTTGAAGACATATTGTCGTTTGATTCAGTCAAAGATTCCGTATTGAGATCACCGAACTGTTCTAAATTGTAAGACACTTTTGGATCGAAGAATCGAAAATCCAAGATGTAGAAACTTAAAATTATGATTTAATTTAAAAATTTAAATGAAGGATCAAAAAAATGTTTCAGTAAAAATGCTTTAAGGAATTAAAGAATAAGAACGGATAAATATTGTCCAGAATGTTATGATTCCTTTTGAAAGTCGAAAAATCATTTCGTATTACACGACAATGATTAAACAACTTTAATAATAATCAGATCCACTAATTGTCATGTGAATCTTGTGGTTATTCAACTGATAAAATTCTGCGTGTCACGTGATTGAAATTTGTAAAAACCAGATAATTATTTTATTAAAATAAATAAATCTCCTATAATATATTCCCAAGAATGATCGGAGCTGCGAATTCTTAACAAATCTGATAACCCGATCAAACTGGTCCTTTTTTGGAAAAAAAATGATCCGAGAATAGGCAAGCATATGAATATAATTTAGATAAGATAGTGAGATCTAATGCCGATTTTTATCAACTTTCTCTTTTTTTTTTTTGAGCAATGAATCGGTGATTCAATGTTGAAATTAATAAGAAAAAAAAAAATAGACAATTGTATTTCTTTATTATTATCATTATAACAATGGATTTGAATTCCATTGCTTATGTGGAATCAGTTAATTCCAACCTTATATGTTGTATTTGTCAGACACCTTTCGTTGAGCCTGTAGTCATAGATAGCTGCGGGTAAAATAATCATTTCGCATTCAATTAATCAAATTCCGAACAGCTTACTTATTTCATACTTTATACCTTTCCAGTCACACATTTTGCAAGGATTGTATTACTCGATCATTGTCAACTAGATCTACCTGTCCGGTTGATCGATCTCATATTTCCAACGTTAATGAACTTAAACCTGCTGCAAAAATAATTGTGAATATGGTTAATGAATTATTAGTTTATTGTCCTAATAAAAATGATGGATGTCTTTATCAAGGACAACGTCAATTATTAAATTTTCATTTACAAGAAGAGTGTTTATTCACTAAATTAGAATGTCGTAATGAAGAATGTAGAGAAATGATTTTAAAAAAGGATTTATCAAAACATATGGAAAGTTGTATAGCTAGAATGGTTAAATGTGAAAGTTGTAAAGAAATAGTTTCATTATCTACTTTAGAGGTGAGATTTTAAAAGTATTATCGCTCTCCTTTTTTTTTTTTTTTTTTTTTTTTTTTTTATGGTTGTCTATTTTATTTTAGATGATTAAAGTTAATACACATTTTTATAAAGGGACATAAAATTACTTGTCCTGTCAACAATATAGAATGTCCTTATTGTCATACGACACGTATTCAGCCAGAACATACTTTACACCTTGAAGAATGTCCAGACAAATATGTCACTTGTCGTCATGCGGAATTTGGTTGTGTTTGGAAAGGTCGTCAACATGATCTATCAGTTCACATTGGTTCTTGCAGTTATGAACCATTGAAAGAGTTTTTCAAGATGTATAAGCAACGTAATTATGCTCTTGAACAGGAAAATCAGCAATTAAAAACAAAATTTCAAGATCTTCGCAATACAGTGGATTTTTTAGAAGGTCAAGTCTCGGCTATTTCTGATTGGTTATCAACCTTTATAGATCCAAAGGGATTGGTATCAAATGCTGAAGGAGAGCCTTCAATCTCAACAATTCACGAATTACTTTTATCAGACAATGATCGTATGAAAAATGAAATCGAAAATTTAAGTGCTAGTTTAACAGATTTAGAGTTGAGACAAAACGTTGCTATCATGACAGAAGGAATGAGAATGCAAGAAGAAATCCACAGCATAAAGAACATTTGTCATGGATTAAGAATGCAGATGCATTATTTATTAATGGAGAGGAGTGGTGGAGAGCCATCCGTTGGGACAGCGGGTCCAAAAAGTTCCGTTATTAGGCCAGGATTAATTGGCCCTATGGGTTTAGGAAGAACCGTTCCTCCTAATACAAATGATTCTTCTTCGGCATCAAATCCACGTCCTCCTCGCCTAATGGGATCTGGTAAATGTTATCCTCATTTTTAAAGAAAGATATATATATTTTTTCTAATTCGATTTTTTTTTTTATTCCTAGAATCTCCACGGAAAGAAAAGCTTTAAAAATTTTACCATGAATCGTTGTCAGATTATTATTAAGTATTAAATAAAATTAATAAAAGTAATAAAGTCCCAAAGTCTTTTGAATTTAAAAACTTTTTATAATCTAATGATACTAGTAGACGAATCAGATTTACAATTAATCAATAGAAATTATATTATTTACATTGATTACCTCAGTTGATTTATGAAATTTCTAATTTGGTTTATCCCTCTCCTTTTTTTCTAGTTTAAACTATTTTATCTAAAGTATATGAATAAATCGATCAAAGTGTAATTTACCAAAGCAAAATAATACATATGATGTAAATAAACTACGTATCGCGCTCATTATAAATTACACGGTTTTCACAACCATTTTTCGGATTCAGAAAATTGTTTAAAATTAAATAAATTAATTAAATTTTATTATTTCTATTATTACTTATTATTATTATTATTATTATTGAATTAAGGTTATAGCCGATGACCTGGAACTGCTACAAAAATAGCTGTAATAATTATAGAAACTATTAAACTTTGTAAAAATATTCTTATTCCTTTCTTTACATGTAATGTGTATATATATGATTCCATTACGCGTTGAAATTGAAAGAATGTCGTTTCGCTAATTTAAAAATGATTTTATTTTAATAATAGTTTAAAATAAATGCACATGAATTCTCTCATATTACCTTATTCTTAACAAGACAAATAACGGACTTAGCTTCGTTATACAAACAAATAAATTTTTCACACCCAAAAATATTGGAATGAAACTCTGCAATAAAAAAAGAAACAAAATTTTTTAAAGAAAAAAATAAAAGAAAACCTTTTATTCAAACCATTATACATAGATCACACATACCCATAATCGAACTGTTCTTGGCATTATATTCAAGAAAATCAAACTTAATGCTATGGCAAAACCAAGAAATAAGAAGAATGTACCAATTCCTAATCTCATCAAAATTTGTGTGGCATTCATGTTACCAAATGCCCTCGCCATTAAAAATCTAGGGAAATATTCCTTTTCCATAAATGCATAAATTTCCTTTTTAGCCTCGTGGTAAATCCAAGGATCATCTCTTTTGTGTTGAAAAATACCTTCTTCTTCTATAGCGCGAGTAATTTTTTCTTTAATATCATTCGATAAGAAAATCTCTTTTTCAGATCCACTAAATATATATTTAAAAAATATCCTTTCCGCAGATTCGCGAAGATCATCTCTTGTGAATGGTCTTTCACGATTACAAAGCGAAAGATTTCCCGCTGTTGTATTTGTTTTATTTGAACGAACTGAATCTCGATATTGCTTTAGCTTATTATCATTATTACCGTCATTTTGAATTTCAACTACATGTGTAGCTGAGGTTTTTTGTGCAATTGTAGATTCAGGAACGTCACTTCCAGAATTAAGTGTATTATCCGAACCACGAGAAGAATTACTAATTTGCCTTTGAACACCACTCTTTATACTAACTGGTTTGTTAAATTTTAATTTATCCTTTTCCGTCTTAAATGCTCCCGGTCTATATCTTTCATATTCGGGATATTCTGTATTTACATCTAATCCAAGTTTTTTAAGGTCTTTTACATATGCTCTACATAAGATCTCATGTTCTAATATATCGAGATAAAAGTCCAAATACTCTGAAGCATTTTCTACATCCCTCATATAAAGATAAAGGTTGAATAAACATACTGGAGGTGCTGTTTTACGTAAAACAACCTCTTGTAAGGTTGGTAATCTGTCTCGTTTATATGAAGGATAATGTGCTTTGGCAAGCCGCCTACCCTTTTCTGAGGTATTTGTTGTGTTTTCTTGACTACCCATTATTTACTATTTATTTTATTTTATTTTATCTTTTTTAAAAAAAAAAAAAATTTAAAATACTTTATTAATTAATATTATGAATAATAATAATAATGCATTCGCTCGAATTAATTTTTTACTAAACTAGAATTAATTATCAAATATAAAAATCGAGAAACGAAACTGTGTAAAAGAGAAAATAAATAATTTTTAATTAATCACCATTTTATAAAGATCACCCTTTAACCCCCTTAACCAAATTAGTGATAATATACTGCATATATATTGTAAAACTAAAGTGGAAATTGTTTTCACGCGCATTTCTGTTTTCGTTGATTTCTATTTTGGTGCAACAATTTATTAATTAATTGTGTTTCCTAATGCGTTAAACAATCATCAATTATCCAAAAGAATTTGTGTAATGTGATAATATTATATTAAAAACAATAAATATTAAAACGAAAACAATAATAACTCTTTGAAATTATTATAACTGCATAAATATAACGAATTTTGCAAAATTTCTTTACAAATTCTTTAGTATTAACATAAGTTTCTTATAAAAATGGTTAAATAAAGTTTTGAAATAACATATGGACCGATTTTGACCGACCAATAAATAATCATTTTAAAAAAAGTTCGCGAGAATACAGCACCACTCAATATGAAAAGGTAAAAGTTATTGAGAAAAATGCATCCTACAATGAATAAGTAAATCAAACACAAATATACAGTACTGTATACAGACCTCTCTATATGTATCCCCTTGGAGAATTTGAAAATTGTGTATATAAAGAGAGTATGCAATTTTTTATATGATCTCTATATGCTTGGGACTGTAGAGAGGGTGCATATAGAAAGATTTGACTGTATAAGGATGTTATAAACAAATGTCATGTTAGAATTGTTAAAATAAAAATTTAAAATTAAAATTAAATATATTAATTATATTACAGTTCAATAGTCGGTAACAGATCATTAAATGGATCAGTCAAACGTTCGGTCATTCAAAGCCTTTGCAACTTTTTACCGTCCCTAATACAAAATGATAGATATTGTAAAAAGTTTTATAAATATATAAATTATTGGAATTATGTAATTTAGTTATAAAACTTGTTTTTTTTGGTTTTAATTATCATTTTAAAATTTTTAAAAAATTAGTTGTAATGATCTATTTTACTTAATAACAACTACTATCTTTTAATAATATAGGTTTTGCGATGTTAAATATTTTAGACATAGTTTTAAACATATAAAAATATGCTTAAAACTGACATGGGTTGATTACTAGGAAAATCAGGTTCCCGGAATTTTTTAACAAAATTGAGATTTTATTGCTTTTTAGTTTGTCATTAGATTAAACTCTTAATTTTAGTCAAAGATTTCTCGGAACCTGATTTTCCTGGAAATCCTCCTTTTAATATATAATATAGTAATTTATTAATAATCACTAATATATCTAATAACTAAATTAAAAGATCATTTATTATTACCAATAATAAACAATAATAATGCAGCCTTAAATTAATTATTATATTTAATAATAAACTAGAAAATCAGAAATTATTGTTTCACCAATAACATTTATTCTGTAAGAATCACTTAATATAGAAAATAAGAATTATCTAAAATAAAAATAATAATGGTTTTGTAAAAGGATGCTTTATAAAAGATAAAACAAATAAAATGAAGTTCAATTATTATTATTATATTAAAGTAACATTTAGGGACCGTTAGACATTGATTTTCGATGTAAAATTACTATTTGTCACTATTATTATTCGTCACATACTAATTATTTACACGTGAATACAGAATAAAAATTTTCAACCGCCTTTGCATGATAAAAAATTATAACAATGATTACACCAGTTTTTACAATTACACAAGACCCGAATCTTGTCATAATCGTTATTAAAACTCCTTATATAAAGGTAAGTTATATTAAATGAATTAAAAAACTTTGAAAGGAGGCTTACTTCATTATTATTAGGTATCGGATATCGAACTTTACTGTGAAGGTTCGGACTTTACCTTCTATGCAAAACCATATTATTTAAGGTAATAAACCTATACCTTTTACCATATTGGGAAACTCGGGTTTCGAGAATTTTTGAATAAATTAAGATCTTACTGCATTTTTAATCTAATAACATCCAAAACTAAAATGATCAATTTTTTGTTGAAAAATTCCAGAACCTGATTTTCCTAATAATCACCCCATATATTAACGGCTTTGAGCATTTCTTTTAAAATAATATGTTATTGTTTGCACGAATAGGCTTCATTTTCCCGGCAATTTGGTGGATGATGATCGAGTTAATGCCTCGTATGATATTGCAGCTGGTGAAATGAATATAAAGATACCAAAGGAAACTCCTGGAGAGGAATTCCCAGATTTAGATTTATTGACCAAACTTTTAGCTCCAAAAAGTGTTAAGAAAATTGAAAAGCCTTTAATTGAAGTTATTGAAGGCGATAATGATGATGATATTAATCATGAAAATACTAATGAGTTGAATGGGCTACTTGAAATGGAAATTGAACAAAGGCTTGATGAAGATCATAATGATGATTTTTTAATACGGGAATTAAATAGTAAAACCAATAATAATCATGATGAAAAACAAAGATCCAAACCTTTAATTCAAGAAATATTTGATGGAGAAATCAACGATGAAAATGAGGCTAAACGAATTTATAATTTGTTAGAGGAAGGTAAAGTATATATTCAAGGCATTTTATAAACCTATTCAATATTCAACCTTATAGTGACAACCTTGTTTTGGTTCTTATGTGTAGCTAATGCTTATAATTGGGAGTTACCGCAACAGGTTTCTCATGAAAGGGTAAATAATTATTAATTTTCATTTTCATTTTTTTTTTTTGTAAAGATTTATTAATGCAATAAGATATTTAATTTATCAGGAATTGCTATCTACAGCAAAATACGGATTCAATGGACTTTATTCAGAATATTTCACGCATGTACAGGAAACATGTAATGAAATAATAGATATAACAAATCCAGAGAAATCTACACCAGAATCGCGTCGTAAGGACCGAATTAAGGCTGAGAACAGCAAATTTGATCCAGATCACTATATGTAATATAATCCTATAATCTATTCATTTCATATTGAAATGCTTTGTTTATTAATTTTTCAAAGTTTGGAATAGAGCCGACTTTATGAGTGCGGAAGAAATTAAATACCTCATTAAATCAAAGACTTTATGGTGGAAAGAATTTAAAAGATTACAAAACAATAATAATAATAGTAAACGTGAAGCTACTGTCAATGAAACAGTCTCAACAGTAGAAAAACAGGACGCTTCGGCGCCAGTAACAACAACAAATGACGAAACCAATGATGTTTTAACTGTATTCAAATTCACCGAAAAAGAAAACATGATTATGCGGAATTTGCCAAATAAGCAATGTACATATTTTATTTTTGTAGAAATTTTTTTTTTTAAAGAGAAAGTGTTAATAGTTTATCCTTTTTATCATTAGATCTACTTGAGAATGTAGAATCAATTTATTATGGTTTAGTCGATTTGTTGTTTGCCTATAGTTATAATCATAGGGTCTTTGAAGGAGAAAACACTGTTGAATCGGCATGGATCATAGGTAAAATAAGTCCGACAATATCTTGTCTTGAGGTAAGTTTTATGAATGATCCAATATTTATTCACTATCAGAAAATTAATTTTTTGTTCAGCAATTTAACAGTTTAGAAGAGATAATGAAAACATTATATAGACGATCGTTAGCTTATCCATTGCGTAGAAATTATGAGCTTACCGAAAAATGTCAAGATGATGTTTATGTCCTTCTTAAATTAGGAAGACGTGTTATTTTAAAAGTTTTATTGGAATTAAAAGATTTATTCGACCATCATGATGTTTATTATATATATTCAAAAATATGGTTAGATGACTATTGCATTTGGTGTCAAACAAAGGCCAGGTAAGCGATGCAAGATATATATATATAAATTTTTTTTTTTTATCAATTAGAAATAAACTGATTCAAATTATTTAAACAGTGACAAAATTATTCGTTCTTTGGCACATAAACTACATCATTATAAAGTTTTAAAATCTGATATTGGATGGCATTTAGAAGAATATGAACAATTAGCATTAGAAGATGCACAAGAACAAGCAATAAATTTAAACTAAACAGACTATTATAAGTAGGCTTTATTAAAGTGAAATTTATAAAATTTACAAAATTTATTATAATATATTTGAATATAATATAAAGATTTCAAATGCAATGTCGTATGTATAATCTAAAAAAACTGTTTTATTAATCATTGTGTAGCCCATATTAATTGGAATTTGTATTGACATTAATTAATATACCATATTTCGAAATTTGTTTAAGGTCAAAAAATATGGTAGTGTTATTTTTATTTTGTCTTCCAATATTATCACAAGTAATCTTTTAAATGCTTTTCATCATCTTAATTTTATTGAAAATCATACTAAGAGTTCCATTTGGTTCTTTTCCTATAATTCATCCTTATTAAGAATATAGTTAATTTGTTTTCTTACTGCATCATCTTGAATACCAAATAAATGAATTTTGCATGAACTAAAATAATAAATTTTACTTACTTTTTGATCTAAATGTAGTATATAAACATTTTGAATTCAATCATAATTATAATATGTAGTAGCATCAATACTACCATATTTTATCCTTTAAATACTTTTAATTAACTAATTTTCTTTATTCTTCTGCTAATTTGACATTTTTATTATAATAATTTCTTTCTAATTTAGCTTTAAATAAATGTTTTTAAATCTTTAAACAAATTTTAACTTCTTTCTTTTAATAAGTATTATAATATAAACTATTTTTAAAATATTATTAAGTATCACACAAGTTAGTTTTAGGACTTATAATTTGAATTTCTGGTATAATTGATATTATAATTTTTTAAAAGTATTATATTTTAAGGATTTTAATTTATTATCCTATTTCAAATCTATTAAAAATCTTTGTAAACTAATTTAACTTATTTTAACTTATTAATTAGGTAATACTTTTTCTTAGACTTATAATTTATAGACTTTTACATAAAATTCTTTATTATTTAATAACATTTTTAATTATTATCTTAATTTTTAATAGAGATATTCTTTTAATATTACTTTGAATTTTTAATAGAAAATCTTATGATTTTTGACATTTTCAAAATAAGTTCTACTAATTTCTAGTATATTAAAATAAGTTTTTTAATAAGGAGTATATTATGATCCTAATGATAAAAAATTCTTTTATTAATCTAGTTTTTTTAAAATATTTGCTAATACTTATTGATTTATTATCTATTATTATAAATTGAATTATTAAAAAAAAGTCTTGTTTTATTTTAAAAAAAGTTTAAAAAAATTTCCTTAATTCTACAAATATTTTTATAAAATTCTTAAAAAAAATTATATTTACAACCTCTTTTTAAAAAATTAATTGCTTTTTGATATTCATTAGAATCATTATAATTATTTTTTTCATATACCTATAATTATATATTATATACTTTTTATATTTATTTTATAAATTTTTCAATTATTTTAAAATTAAAGAGATTTTAAAATTAGTCCTATAATGAAAAATATAGTTGTTTATCATAATTGTTTTACATTTCTATATATTATAATAATATTATAGCATTTTTATATTTCTTATATTAATAACATAAAAAATTATTTTGAATTTTAACTATTAAATTAAATTGTTTAAATAATTTTAGATATAATTTTAATAATTATTAAAACTAATTATACTATTATAAATACAATAATTATTTATTAAGAAAATTAAAAAAAGCAATTATGATAAACAACTATAGTGATAATTAAAAATAATTAATATTTTTAATTATAATAACAAACTGTTTAATTTATTTTAGATAATATAAGAATTTCATAAAATAACTATAGATTTTTGTAATTTGCAATTATATTATTATGATTTTAATGATAATTATTTTATAAAAAATTTGATTTGTTAAAAGAATATAACTGGTTTATCCCTTGTCATTTATATAATTTTATTATTTATGATGTAATATTATGTAAAACTTTTATCAACTATTTTAATATAAATAAACTATAAACTATTGTTAATTGTTAAATTTTTTTTCTTTTTATTTTACAACTTTAAAATAGATATATATTTTCAAAAAACTTCAGACTTATTATATTCAAAAAATAATATTATTATTATAAATGAATTAAAAAAAACTTGCTAGTTTAAATGATGTAAAATTATCTTAAATACATAAACTTTCAAATCATCTATTTCAAAGGAAACATATAAGCTTCCTTCTATTAAAACTTTATAAAAATAAGTTATACTAATAAAAATATAAGATTGTGATTTTCATATTTGAAAAATTTGAAATGATATATAATCAGATATTGATTTATTAACTCTTTTTGATAAAAAGACTATTGCATTATTATTATGTGAATTTGTTGTGATTATTAAAATTAGAGCTAAAAAAGATTATAAAGCAAATTCATTATATAATAGAATTTGTACTATAAATCAATTTTATCAAGAATTATTTAAAAAAATAAAGAATCTTTTAATATTCATAAAGATTTTAAATTTAAACAGTGCATAATACATTACATTCTAGAATGATTAAACTTGAAAAAATCAATAATGGCAAATATAATAGTGCAAAAATTCTTACAGATGAAGAAATATTTAAAATTTTCAATCATTCTAGCATGTTAAATAAAATATCAGATGGATTGCTTAAAAGAGTTTTTTTATGAATTGGATGTTGTATAGCATAAAAAAAGGATCTTATTATAATATTATTGCTGAAATATTTTAAAGAACGTGATAATGAAGGGTTTGATATTATTATAATTTATAATTAAATCCATCAAGAAGGTTATTATCATCACGTAAACTCTAATAAACTAATTATACATATTATTTCACTAGATGGAATTAAAGATAGAGTTAAAGTAAAACATATATGTTATCAATGAAACAATTAACCAATCATAATGAAATTACGTAGATGACATAATATAATGATCTCTTAATCTAGAATTCTAAAAATACTGAGAATTTTGCAAATTCTAAAAATACAAAAGATTTACGTAATTCTGCAGATCTTTCAAATACTGATAATAATCCTAATTTTACAAATTAAACGAAGTCTAAGAATATTTAATGTTATATTTATTAATTATTTTTTAGTATACTTATATTTATTTACCAAATTAGTTAGTTTATAGTATAGTAAATAGTTAGCTGTGATAAAAGAAATTTTGTATATACAGTCAACTCTTGATATAGCGAACTCTTGATATAACAAATTTTTTGAACAAATATAATAAAAATACTCTTGT